GCCACAAATAAAAATCACATCAGAGTGCATTGGTTACATAAGCTTCCTGGTGCTCCTTGTCCGTTATTGTTCTATGTCACTGTGTTCTCCTTTCTCATGAATTTCCCCATTTATTTCTTTTGCTAATTACAGTGAGTTTGTTTTTGTATACGATGAGTTGTGCGCTTGCTTCCATTAGCTACCACTCCACTCTTTGTAATAGAATTATAACTGTAATACATTAGATGAGCATAAGTTACTGAGAGCATAAGCTACAATCACTGCAATCACATATGTTTAGAGAGTGAACTAGATCATAAAACTCTGTTGCTGTCTCATTGCTGTAGTGTTCAGTATCTTTAACTCACTCGTTCATCAATCAGAAACATGCTGATGTAGGCTGAATCCTCTACTATCGTGTGCTCCTCAGGGATAAGGGACCGTAACCCAGATCTGATGGGTGAGGCACTGTTCAAGGCCTCTTACATGTGAAAAGTGTCATATGGCTTATAATAATATATTCCTTGCCCTTGGCCTGGATTGATGTTATGGATGAACTCTTTGGCTGTGCTGAAGGAAGGACAGGAAGTTTTTGTGTTTCAAACAAATATAATTTATGCTTTTACACTAGAAAATGCTCAGAAGGGTCATTTTTAATCATGTTGTTTTAACTGTGGGGTTTTGGTATTCTTTTGGAGTTTGCAAAGTAAACTTTTTCTTATGTGTTGACATTCATGTTGATAAAAAAAACAACAACACTACACAGTCTAGCATAACTGTTTCACGCATAACAAGAGCCAAGAGCCGTACCAAAGGCTAAATTGATAGAACAATGCCCAAAGATGCTGGTTTGGCTGCTACATGGTGTTGAAAAAACAAGCTGTAAAGGGTCATTCTTGGGTTTCTTTAGTTATTATGTTTCACAAATAATTATGAAAACAATTAGAGGTTGTATAGACAATAGAAAATATGTTGAGACAAATGTAAACTCTATGGTTTGATTAGTTTCACACTTCTGTCCAAGAGCATGACCACCTTTTAATGGATGAATCACAGACAAGCACTTTCCTATGAAGCCATGGCTTATCACTCATTGGTACCACTGAATGTTTTTTAGGAAATCAATTATTTACACACGTGTGTATTAGAACAAAGCAAAAAAAAGGAAGAAAAACGACAAAATTTGACATAATGTCACACTAAACTTTACAAAACTTTTAGATAAATAAGATTGTTTCAAGCATGCTCCTTTAAACTCACATGCGACAAGTAGATGTTTTTTAGTCTATGAACCCCAACTTTATAAGTGCACCAGAAGCATCCTGTCCAAAGACTGCCGAGCCAAATACCATACATCAAAATGCAACGATAATCACTAGATATCATTAGATGCATCTCTAGTTATTGGACTGTGTAAAAGATACCGTATTTTTCGCCGTATGACGCACTTTTTCTTCCCCGTCTTATACGGCGAATACAGAGCGCCGCGGAGCGGAGGGCGGTCACGGCCGTAGGAGAGGCGTAAGAGAGCCATATTTGTACACACGGTGGTGCGCGCTGACGTCATCGCCCATCTCGTCGATCCTACCATAGCGCGTAGGACTTTGTGAAGGAGGACTTTGTTATAAAATCATTTAAGAAGTGTGGCATTAGTAATGCCTTTGATGGAACAGAAGACAACATCTTATTTGACACCAGTGAGGAAGAAAGTGATGATAATGACTGCGTGGATCTGTCCTTCCTCATTTCTAATAGCAGTGACGAAGAGGAATTATTGGGGTTCGAATAAAAACATTACAGCCTTTTTTTTGTTACTTTTACTGTTTACTGACTTTACTGACTGTTCATGTTACATGTTTAGCATATAATTGTTCTTAAACTGCTGTTAACTTTTACACAGTTGATATAAAATATTATACTACGTCTTATATGCCAGTGCGTCTTATACGGCGAAAAATACGGTACTTTGATTTGAAGGTACTCAAACTGAGTGAGAATACAGCTTTAATCGGTAAGATCCCCGCTTTCAGGTGTCCATGCTCTCTCACACTGGTGACAATGCGCTTCAGTGGATTAGATGGAGACAGCATCCGCAGAGCAGTGTGGGACTGAATAAGAGATGAACTCAATCTAACAACCCACACACAAGCACCCATGCTGTCCCTTTAAATCAAAAGCAGGCCTTTAATTGGCTGCCATTGATCGGCAGCTCTTTGTGGTCAGAGCAGATGAGATGGATGTGGGAGTGAGGATGCTCTCGCTTTGCTTTGTTGAAGGCTCTAGGAGGATTTCTGAGCCGCAGGATGCTGGAATTAACTAATTAAGTTGCGGGCTAAAGTCTTATCACCTCGAGTGAAAATTAACTGTATGCCTTAATTAAGAGATATGGTAGAAAGAGCCTAGATGACAGTGCATGCATAAATTGTTTTTTTTTTTAAGTTTTGTTTTTCTTGGGAGAAAGTTGGATAAGATGTGATCAAGAATTCAAAGGTGAAAAGGCGACTAGTTTCAGAAAACACCATTGCTTCTCACAACTGATTAGTCACAGTAAATTACTTTTTGTAGGTTCTTTTGCTTCATAAATGACTCAGATTTCTCCATGTGAAGCTCTGAAGGCCATATCTTCTATGAGAAGCGTAGACTCGCTTTCTCTATACTTTTATGATCCTTTCAAAGATGCTGGTGGAACTTAATTGACAAAAGAAACTGGGAGGGATCTGGAGACACAATAGCTTGGTGTTCAAAGAAAATTCTTCCAATGAAGAAGCACCAAGAAGCTTGGCTGGTGCACTTGAAATGCCTGGTGCTTTCAGCAGCCTTACAATGTGTTTTTATTATATAAAAATGTACAATTAGACCTGTGAAGACTATATTAAAACATACTATAGTTGTTTTCGGTTTGTATTTTTGATACAGTATTTGCAAATGTGTAATACATTTTGGGTGCATTCACTCATCTTGTAACCATTTGCTGTGTTCACATGGATACATGGATTTTCTGGTCTTATTTATTAGCATATTCAGAGTAAAAACACCTAATGTAAAAGTTAATCAGCGTAAATTTGTATAATCAATATAATCGTTTATATAGTAAGGGGTGGTTTAAACCTTTTTGTAGTCCAAATGTCAGAAGGTGGTGGTATTCAGTAGGAAATGAGACTAGATGATTTTGACCATGTGCACAAACATAATGATACATCACTACAGCTGTTTTAGCAAGAAACATTGAAGCCACATCCGTCAGAAGCCTTATAAAAACATTGCATGGGAGAGTGAAACATGACTTTCAAGCCACACCCCTTGCAACCAACACACATATTAAGAGCAAAAGAAAATCAAATTCAAATATTATTAAACAGAGACTTTGGAAGATACATACAGTTTGGTTCATAATAATCATAGTCATAATGGGATTTCACAGTCCACATGGACCCAGAGAGAGGAGCTTTTTAAATTCGATTCACCATGGCGTTTTACAAAATGTGTGGGTACATGAAAACTGTGCTATGGTTACATGTGGGTGAACACCGTAATTATTTTTTAAAATAACCTGGTATATGTGGACTGGGCCTAAGAAAGCAGTGCTGTCTACTAGACTTTTTTACAAATCTTAGCTGGAAAAAAAAAATCTATCTTTTTTTTTTTTTTTTTTTCCTGGAAATTAGGCACGGTCAAGCTAGCAGTGACCAAAACCTTGAGTCATGAGCCTAATATCTAATGTTTAAACTTTTCCAGAATAAATGTAGACATGTATCCATCAGATTTTTTCTCTCAATCAATGACAAATCATGAATGTTTCATACGGATGAATTGGATTTGAACGTTAGATAAAACACTCCATTGCTATGACAGAGCATTGGGAATACCGGATTGGAGACACAGAGATTTTGGAAAACGCCCTTGCCAGCGCATCTAGTGTTATACAAACTATGCCACAGAGGTTTAATAGTCTGTGACTTATGATTCCGAAAGCATAGTGCAAGGATGATTAAAAGCATGCCCTTGTGCTGAACGTGTTTGAAAGCATAAGCTCCAGCTCTGTTTGTCCTCTCAGATAAGATGCATATAAAAACATTAGAGCTTAATATTACAGAAGACCCTGATCTTTTTTATTATTATCAATGCAGAATGATTAAGTGTTTTCTCTCAGTCTGTGATTGAAATTATTTATTCAGTGACATTATAGAGAAATGCTCTGAATGAATGAACTGTTCTTTTGAAATGGTATTCGGTACAAATAGGGACCTCATATTAACTTGTACTTTTCAGGAGTTTCAGGATATATAATTGGGGCGGCGAAAGTGAGAATACATGGCATGTAAACGAAGGATCACATGATGAACCCTTCACTGATGAGAGGATTTCTCCTTAAAGCGGATTACTTAATTCCCAATGAAAATGACTGTGAAATTTTTTTTAAATAATACCACTGCAAGGAAGCAAAACCCTATTATGTTTCATTAGTAAACATTAAACACTGTATTTAAATATACAAATATGATTTTTCCATGGTACTCATAATGGAGAAAGAGTGAGAGACAAGTGTTTTGCTTATTTGGTGTGACTAACATTACCATTTTCGTACAGAGAGAACAATTTAATTTGTCATTGACCAAGTGTTTGCAGCTACATCAGCGTCAAGTCTTAAGAGTAGGTTTTCCACAAGGTTTATCTATTGGTTCATTGGAAATTTCAAAACATTTTCCCAATAGTACATTTTTAATCTACCCCCATACTTTTCCTCAAAGTATTCAGAGTTTCTTTTACTGGAGCTGTGCTCTTGAAAAACAACTCCATACCATAACCCACCACCAAACTTGGCAAAGGCGTGATGGAGTCTAACTAGAACTGTTGTTTCGTGACTAAAAAAACATAATAAATAATATTTCAACTAATATTCACTTATTTTTAATTACCTACAGATTGTTGGCATTTTACTTTTATTTTTTTTTTACATTTGGCAGACCTATTTTACCCAAAACAACTTGCATATGAATGAATGAATTTTTTTTGTCAGTTATAGCTTTACATGGGATTTGAACCCAAACCTTTGCATCATTAGCTCAATGCTCTACCAACTGAGTCACAGGAGAGCTAAGTTGATAGAAATAATGCAGTATTTAATTTCTTGCGAGAGCCTGTAGAGCAGGATTGTTGGAGTTACCTGTTGTTACCCAAATATGTTTGTAGAGGCAATTAACAAATAAAACCTGGTGAATTCCGATGAATCGAATAATTGTTCTAATAGGAAGCAGCATGTGTGTTTTGTCTCATCAATGTCAAAATACCATCCCGACATCCCACTTGGCAATTCTGCAGACTAATGAAGGAAATTCTCCATCAAGATGAATTAAATCAAATTTGCACATCGTTGATAACCCTATAATTTGTTCTCCTTCTGTATTATTAAACATTTAGTTGACTGTTTCAACAAAGACCAAAAATCCCTAGGTGTTTATGAGACAAACTGAACTCGATAAGTGTTCTCTCTTGCTTCATGTCTCTTTCTTGACCCAGCAAACCTCTGTCTCTGCTTTCATTCCAGCCAACATGAATCTCCTTGATGACATTTTTCTTAAACTTTGAGAGTAGGATGAAGATATGTTGAGAATTGTTGAGAAAACGACCTGATTATCCTCCACTTCTGCAGTGCACACTTTCTCCTCTGTTTGTTGCTTCACAGAAGTTTGACTTGACTCGCACTGGTTAGATTCGACAGAGGAGATGAGCGGCCTGCGGTTTATTCTCTGTAAGACGATCAAATTGAAGTCAAAACTGACAGATCATGGAGAGAGCTGTACATGAAGCACCCATGTTTAATGAGAGAAGAGAATCATGGGAATTTCTCAAGCACTGGGTCGTGACACTCACAGAGAGTCAGTCACTGCTGAGAAAATATATATTTAGTAGCAGATGTCAAATCTTCTGTCATTTAGACAAGGCTTAGCTACTCGGATATCACAGATCACAGTTCAAGAAAACCGTGCCAGATTGAAGATAATGTGACAGACTAAACAGACTTCAATGGAACTGTTTGGACATGTTTTTATTCTTTGCTCCTGTCTTTTCTCACTTTTTCTCCATTAATAGTTATGTGCCATCATGGAATATTTTCATTGGCTAATGCTTACCTCGGACTTCTGAGATCCAATAAGATTTTCCAAACTCTGAAAATGTTTAGGACGTTAGCTAACAGCTTTTTTTTTTTTTTTTTTTTTTTTTTTTTTTTTTTTTTTTTTTTTTTTTTTTTTTTTTGCTATTCACTATTCTTTTACTTCTGTGTTTCGTTTGTAGCTGCTTGCTTTTTTTGACGATTCTTTTGGATTTGGTGCCACAATAAACAGCACTTTTGGAACGGTATCTCTCGTTTACTGGCCTCTTTCATGCATCTGAGCAAACCATCGGAATACTACATTGCGATGACTCAAGATGATGGTATGTCCTGCTGGAAGGAGTCCCCCATAAAATGCTGGAAGGGTGTTTCAAAACAAGATTTTTCAAATCCATGTTAAGTTTAAGATGTTTTAGCAGGATTAACTCTCACTGTCCTTCACAAGGCACTTAATGCAAGATAATGTTCCAGGAACCTCAGCTGCAGTAGCTCTCAAATCCTCTAAAAGCTCTCAGTTATCATCATGGTCTGGGTTGAAAACGAGTGGTGAGGTGTTGGAAAGGCCTCTGAAGGTCAGCTTCTCCTACTGAAACATAATGCATCAAACGAAGAGGCTTTAAGATGGATTACTTTGCTGTGATAAATGCTCTGAGCTGAAAACATGTTAAATAGACAGAAGCCAAAGGGGCCAACGAGCAGATTTGAGTGTGGCCCTGCTGTACTAAAGCTGCTCTGGACCGGCTCCAGAGGGACAGAGGTGAATCCAACAGTCTTGATCATGTCAGAGAGCTGGAGCCGAGCCAGATGAGTGAGTGAGAGAGAGAGAGAGAGATGAACGTTCTATAAAGGCTCCTCTGTAGCCTTGAGCAGCAAATGTTACCTGTTGCTAATGTTTTCAAGTCTTAAAGAAGAACACATGTTTATCTGTAAATAGACAATATTGCTTATAATAATAGAAATAACAATCTCTTACTGTGTTTTTTTTTCAAACACAAACTGCAACTCAATAGATCCCAGTGGTGGACAATGTGTCAATTTTGTACTGAAATATACGTACGCCTTCAGCTTTATGTCAAAGTGTGTTTTGTAGTGGTAAAAAGTAATTATTTATATATTTTTGTCATTACTTTATTTATGTGAAGTATGCTTGAGCAACTTGGAAGACAGGCTCTGATTGACGATGAGCATTACACAAAAGCCAGTAAAAGAGCTGCACACGGTGTGCATCTGAGTGGAACCAGCTCTCTTACGAGTGATTCTCTGAAGCTACAGAGCTTCTTGGCACATGATCAGCACTTGTAAATGCTGCCAAGATCCTGTTCAGTGTTCCGCATTGTTTTCAGTGTAATTCTGATGCTTGTTATAGCTTCATTTTTGTATTTTACATTCGGTAATGGCTCCAGCTCATTGTGTCAAATGTGAAATTGTTATGTACGTAATTTGAAATGGTTTGCAACAATTCATTGTACAGAACAAAAAAAAACTGGAGTATTCAGATTTTTTTGGAATCTTTAATTAGCTCAGGGAAACTGTTTCAAGAGGAATTCAAAAGATGTATTGCTTTTCCAATTCTTGGGATTGGGTTAATTTTTACTTTGAGTCTGAATCTGTGCGTCTATCTCATTTATTATGTCGTAACTTCTATTATTTGTCCCATTCTGGAGTACTGACATATCTTTTTTCATTGGTTACTTTTGTTCTTCTCACTGACATACTTCTTCATTTTCCGACTGGGAACATTTATTACACAATATTAGCACTTTAACATTTAGCACATTAAAGGACTTTAAACATATACCTCACCTGATTAGTTTCTCCTCATATTGAAAAAAGAAAGGAAATGAAGGGGGAATGGGTCCTTGCAGCAGGGTTGAGCTTTCTTCAGTTTGAATATCTTTTGTAAAAAATGTAAAAAAAATGTAATTTATTTATCCGAGTCTTGGTATGTTGGTATATCAAATTATTAAATCACACAAATGTTTGATTTTGTTTGTACGGCACAGTTTTTGGTTGTAGATGTGTTGTGTTTTTTTTCATACATTTAGCGTTTATTTTCATGCCTGGTGAACGAAAATAAAAACTCCACTGTGGAATACTCCTGCCTCTGCGTCACCTTACCAGATAGCCTCTGGCCCTCTCCCCCACCTCTTGCCCAAAGCGAGCTGGAGATCTGCACCAGCAGACCCCCAGTGACCCCAAATGTGAAAAGACAGGCAGGATGATGAATGAATGTTCGTTGTAATACTTTGTGTTGTCATTTAGTCAAAAATGTATGGCCTCTATTGAGTTTTCATTGATGAGATACTGAGTAATATGTCTGTGACAGATATGGTTGAGTAAATACTTTGTAGTCATGGAATAATTCTATAACAAACAATGGTAAGGGTAGATCAGATATTATAACGTGAAATTAATGTAGTATTTAGTGTTTGAAATTAGTGTCAAAACTCTGATTGGGTGCAGGGTTAATTGAAATGATTGTTCTGGGGAGTTCTTTCTGTTCCTGCACTGGTGCTCTTGTAATTCAGAGCCTGTGGAACCCAATGAACAGTTTGTGTCATTGAGTCTTGTTCATCTTTTTTTTTTTGTTGTTGTTATGGTGATTGCCCAAGATAGGTGTCTTTTCTTTCTCATTCATTTCATTTTTGGTCTCCAGACAAATGAAAAAAGGGTATTTTTCCAGCAGATTGTTCATTAATGATCCATCACCTGTTTCCCAACATAACAGCAGCCAATATTAAGCAAGTTACTATCCACTTTCTCTACAAGAGAAAAAGAAATCAAAGCGAATCAATCAATCTCTGTCCATTCCTGACATCCTCTTGTCTCTGTCTGCAGTGAGGTGTGAGTCTGTAGATGAATTCCTCATCAATAGTGCGATCTCATGCTGTGCTTCTTCCCACTGTGGCTAAGTGTTTGCATTTGCCTACTGTTGTGCTTTCACATACAGGTTTGTGTTGAACGGGTTGTTGTTGATCAGCATGGGGTGAGAACACAGAGGGAAGAAAATACAAAAGATAAGTCATACCAACTGCAGAGATGGCTCAGGATGATTTAAAAAATGGTGCTTATTTGCAGCAAATGCATGCTGATAACCGAGGACAGAATGTATGGCTGGACCTCTATAGAACTGTGTTGCTAAGCTGTTGCTACGCTGATCTTTGACGTTGTTAGGTTATACAATACTGATTTCTTTGCTATTTGCTCTTAGAATGTGCTGCTATTAATTGCAAACTGCTGTCTACATGATCCATATCCCCTTAGTCACTGGAAGAGCACCAATGACACCTGGATCCCCCTGAATCTACAATTATCAATGTAACCATTTTTACTTATTACCAGCCACAATTCTTGACGCCAGTATCATTGCATTTATGTATTTAGCAGACGCTTTTATCCAAAGCGACTTACATTGGGAGTAAACATCAAGCAGTTTGGTACAAAGTGGATTGATCAGAAGACATACACATAGAACACATTCAAGCTAGTACAACAAGTGAATTCAAATCAGTGCTTCAGAGGGTTTTTTTTTTTATTTTTTTTTTTAGTTAGGTTAGTATCTCACTTCAAGTCTCACAATAGCTCATCATCTGCTCTAGCTTCCATATTGGCTACTACTCAGACTCACCCATATACTCATCTGGATTTTTCCTGTTTGCTATTAAGGAACTTTATTCTTCTGCTTCATTGTCTCAATAACTCCCGTCTTCCCTTCTCATATAGCCTTAAAAAGAGAGGCTGCAAATGCTTATTTGAGAGTCTATAAAATTGCTGTTGCATCACTAAAACCTGGTGGCTTCCCAAGCTGTTAATTATGGTTGCTAGGGACTAAACAATTTGACGTTTGTCTGCAAGCTATCAAGTAACTGATTTGAGCTGTTATTCTCTTGCTGGATCAAGCTACCTACCTGGCAACCCCTGGTCAAGGCTGAGTGGGACAGGTTTCAGTAATAGAAGGCAGATTTCATAGAGGATCAATGATG